ACTTCTAATATGGTGAGCCGGTAACGGAAAGCCATGGAGGATGTCGCGCTTGCCCGGGAAACGCGAGATGCGGGTACACTTCCCGCGTGTGGTCAATGCTTTTGCCCATAACTCAGCATACTTGTGGGCAAACAATTTGAGCTTTTTAAAAGTTCAATGAATCCATCCTTAAAATATACATGCTGCATTCCATTTTGTTTGTTGGTCCTTTTTTGCCACGAGCATTTGTATTTATAGGTCTTTGCTTTACCTCTGAATGTGATTCCTATTAATCACTCGACTAGTGCACGAAGACGAACCGTATTTCAGATTTTGCGTTTAATAAGGATAACTCTTGAAATATTCTAGTTATTTTTTCATAAAAAAAATTCCAGCCTGGACAAAAGGGAATGGTCCACCGTTATGTTGGATCTATGGTGGCAGACGTTCACCGTACGCTGCTTAATGGCGGCATTTTCCTCTACCCACCCACCGGAGACGCTCCACAAGGGAAGGTGAGCAGCCTTCGCGTCCATCGATATCATGCATCAGGTCAAGAGAGCCGATTTGTTGCGACCCCACAAATAGGGTGTGCATTTGTATGCAATTGGCTCGTGCGCGTAGTCGCTACACGGATCTCCTGACCTGCATCGACGTTGTGCGTATATTTTGCTACTATTAATTGAAATATTACAGCTTCGTTACCTTTACGAGTGTGCACCAATGGCCTACCTCGTTGAACATGCCGGTGGTATCGCTACTACAGGCAAGGTGAGCACTGACGGCAAAACGGTAGAGTAACTTATAAAATTTTAGAGGCGGAAATTCAATCCTATTGTACGTTATTTGCGTAGCGCTTTCGACTATCTTTCATTAGATGTGCTTGAATGTGCAGTCGTCCCTGAAGAGGGGGGGGGCGCTTAGAGTTGGTGCGACGCCAGCCCACTCTCTACCAATCGCGGAAGCTCACAATCGGCTACTATTGGTGGAGAACGGGCTGGTGCCTCACTCAACCGTGCCTCTTTCCTCCGCCCCTTCCCTCTCCCCTGACACGCCTCACCATCTGCAGCACAAGGCTCTATACCCATAAAAAATGTTCCCCAAGAAGCAGGGCGTACGGTACGTAGTACATTTGCAAATTTCAGGCACCTGTTCTCGACAACGTTCCTAAGGAAATTCATGAACGCGGAGTCATCTATTTGGGAAGCAAATTGGACGTGGAAGAGTTACTTACGTATTTTGAAAAATACACAGACGAATAGTCTTCATGTGATAGAATTGTTTTATTTATCGTTACTTTTGGTTGATAATAGTTTTGTTTTGCTTTACATAGGAAATAAACATACTATTTATATATAAACGTTGTATTCGTTGTAGCAACAAGGTCGTCCATAGTTGTTCAAATTCAGTTACAGTTAGCTGGTCATTCAGTTTCGGATGCCCCTTCTGTTTGAGCCAGATAAACGCCCATACCACTCCTACACAGTAGTTTCAGCTATGTACAATCCTCATCATTACGTGTCGGGGCGTGTCAGTGCGGCTGCGTTTGGCGCGGTACCGAAGTCGTTCTGCACCAATTGTTGAAGCGGGCAAGTGACATTACTGTATTATATCCTTCGTATTACTCGTTTTCTACCACTTTTTGTCGCATACGCAAAAAAAGGCTGAGAACGGCTTCAACAGTGTGCGCACTCCTACTGGCTGACACGCCCCGACAGTCCGTAATGATGAGGACAGTGTATTTAAATCCGCACTATGGGAAGCGCATGGAAGTTTGGTAGTAATTAAAGGCAGTTGGCACGATAAATCCTCCAAGACGAGCAGGACTAATACGCCTGGCAGGACGGAATTCCGCGACCCTGAGCAGGCGCTGCATAATGCCTTTTCCAAGGAAGGTGCCCTTATAAGGGCCCTATCAAGCCACAACATTCCGACCCAAACGCCCGCCACGCCCGCCCGCCCACAAATGGACGACCGTTCCTGACGCTCTAATCGATTCTTGCTAAGCAAATTATGAAGCGAAGGGATTGGTATGAAGCGGCCGTGATATAGCTGGGCTGGGCTGTATGGATATATGAGTACACATACAGTCCTCATCATTGCGGACCGGTGGGGCGTGTCAGCCAGAAGGAGTGCGCACACTGTTGAAGCCGTTCTCAGCCTTTTTGTTGCAACGCGTATGCGACAAAAAGTGGTAGAAAACGAGTAATACGAAGGATATTATACAGTAATGCACTTGTTCGCTTCAAAAACTGGTGCAGAACGACTTTGCCAAACCGCACCAAAATCGCAAAGCCGCACTGCGCGCGCCCCACCGGTCGCGCAAATGATGGAGGACTGGTATGCTGGCTGCTGCATGGATATATGAGTACACATATGCAGCCGTACCTTCGGTAGCGGTTATTGGCAAGATGCCTACGGGAAACTCGTCCAAAATTGATTTTGAACACATTGAGAACGGAGGCTCTTTCTTCGCAGGATTTTGACCGTTTCACTCCGTTCTTTCGCCATTTCCCACTATATAGCGCCCTACTAGCATTTTAGGCCGAGCACCAAATCGTGCCAACTGCCTTTTAAGCTCCACTGGAGGATGCAGAGTCTGGGTAAAAGCTGTCGTCTTGTCCATGGATTCACCTTCACATGAATCTCACTGCTGTTGCATGTCGTGGCGCGTTTTCCTGCACAAGATACAGGTGCAAATGCCCATATTTCTGAGAATCCTTCAATGTCGTCGTCGGGGCTCACCGTGCTCTTTGCTTCGATCAGCTTCCATTACATACATTCACAATCCCTGAGATGCGGTAGGCGTGGCTGCTTACTTGAATTGAACGGGCGGCGGGTAAGCCTGAAATATCCTCATTTTGGGGCAGGTGTAATCATGTCGCTGTCGAACACAGAACAAGATGCAAGTGTCTCCATTTGAAATGTCCTCACGAGTAACCCATTCTGAGCCAAGTTCAAATGCTTCGCCTGCAGGGATAAGGTGTATATATCATCGAATGATCTCTGCCCTTCGTATTACTGACCATACAATTGCATCAAGCAGCGTGACTGCGAGAGTGACAAGGGCATAGACGAAGAAGGCAGAGGCATCGTTACACATGAGAGAGGAGAGTTGAGGCAAAACTAAACAAATGCAGCAGGAACACCTACTTTTGCCCTCCGATATGGACGATACCGTATACAGGGGAGGGCAAAAAAAAGACTTTTTTCTTCCTTGACTTTCGACTTTCGGCGCTATAAGTTACACTTTATTAAATTCTTATCGGACATTTCTACCACCATATTAAAGAGCATATCAAATACTATCATGATACTCCGCCACAGCCTTCTGGACGAGCGCCATCGAGAGATTCTGGCACGCGACCGCGATGTGGTGCCTGAGATCAGCGAGATCGTTGATTTCTCCGCCACTGTAGACCACCCTATTGAACTCCGCCCGAACCAGGTAATTGAGGGGGTTTAGGTCAGGTGACCTGCTTAGATATTCCACCTTCTTCAGGTACTCAACGCCCTTCCATTCCAAGTAGGCAAGAGTTTTCCCAACGCCCTTTGATTCCATGTGGTGTCACCCAATCCTGTAGCAGTACAAAGTTTCCAAGAAGGTACGGGATGTAACCGCAGCGTCCCTTCAGTCCGGGGACTACGAAGAAAAATCGTCATCTCCATTCCTGTACGGTCCGGTCCCACGCAGCAACTGGCGCCTTTGCGATGAGTCAAGATGCATTGTTCATACGATCGTAGCGAATAATGACGAAGGTGTTCAACAACACACACCACACAGCGATACTTCCGCCACAGCCTTTTGGACAAGCGCCATCGAGAGATTCTGCCATGCACAAGTGATTTGGTGCCTCCGCCATTGTAGACCACGCTGCTGAGCTCCTTCCAGACCAGGTAGGGTCTGTGTCTGGCGACATACTTGGATATTCCGACTTCTTCAGCTTCTCAACGTTCATTCCAAGTTGGCGTGAGTTACTCCAACACCCTTAGATTCCACGTGCTGGCACCCAATCCGGCAGTATGTGAAGTTTACAAGATGATACAGGCGACGAAACGTCAGCGCTCACTTCCGGTCCGGGGCCCACGAAGAAAATATCGGTCTTCTCATTCCATACCATCAACCCGCGCCTTTACGACTGCGGTGAAGATGATATCCTGGATCGTAGCGACGTTGTCGGAGTTGCTCGATGATGGAGGTCTTCCAGATCGAGAGTACTGCTCTCCAGGTAGCTATCCATGGGTGACTCCATACTAGAAGTTTCGCAGCTGTTTGGAGGTGACATGAGTTCCGAAGGTCTTCTCCAGTCAGGCTGCGACTGGAGATGACTTCATATTTTGGTGTACATGAAGCTGATGGGTGAGAGCCAGCTCCTGCTTATGGAGGAACATCTTGGGTACTTCACCCTGGTACTCGTATCCACGTCCTCTGTCTGGGCTGCGAAAACTTTGCTGATATGTGACTCGGCCGAAGTCTTTTTATTGGCCCCTCCCACCACTATATATTCGATATCCCGGAGATAGGAGAGGCGTTCCTGTGAGCTTCATATAAACGTTGCTGAGGCTGCAATGTGAACACTTTAATCCACCACTTTTCAAACCAAATTCACCACTTTTCTAACCAAATAACCACTGTTCAAATCCAATTCACCTCTTTTCAAATCACTGGGCAATTATTAACCACCCAGATCACGCAGAACCACATGCGAGCTAGCCCCGTGAACACGCCCAATTTGCAGCGCGGACCGACAGTTTTCCAATTCCGTTCCACGCTTCCGCTTCTGTGAGCTGTTTTCTTGGCTGTTTCGCATATTATACCATTTCACTTCAAATCCGACACTTTCAAATCAAATCGGACACTATTTCAAAGACCCAGCAAATTGACCTTTTTCAAATCAATTGACACTTTCCAAAACCAAATCGGACACTTTTCAAAACTAAATCGACACACCTAACAATAAGGAGGTATAACTAGACACTAACTAGGTACTGTCGCAAGCCCGCAGCGCCATTATGTCCCCGCCCACTTCCTCGGCGGGACAGGGTTTTTTCGCGAGATGCTTCATGACATCGCTCTTCCGATTTTTTTCGTTTTGCCTTTGCACACAACTGCTCTTCAACTGAAAAAGATTGATACCTATACAGATCTGACTCCGCCCACTCAACAATGAAGTTACGTAAGTGCTGAATTTTATAACTTTTTTCGTCGTAGTTCTTTTTCGCATCCATCACAAAACGAAGTAAACAGCACAGCACACTCGAGGCCCCGCCCCACTGACTCGCCCACTTATGTCTTATCGGCGGAATTATTTCTGGCCGGATTTTTGCTTTTTAGGCTTAGCGATAGGCTCGTCCGCACACTCAATCGGAAGTCCGCTCACTTTAGGAGAGCCCCGCCCACTTTTCGAAAAATGATGCGAATCGGCGGGCTAGTGTCCGTACTGGTCGAATACGGCCTCTCCGGCACATAGAATTAAAAAAAAGGGAAAAACCGGAAAAAAAAGGGAAACTTTGTTCTGAGCGACGTAATCCGCCAGTACGGACACTAGCCCGCCGATTCGCATCATTTTCGAAAAGTGCGGCCTCGCTAAAGTGGCGGACTTCTCAATTTGGTGGGCGGAGCCTATCGCTAAACCGCTAAAAAAGCAAAATCGGGAAACAAATTCCGCGATAAACATAAGTGGGCGAGTCAGAGGCCCGGGCCTGGTGTGCTGGTGGGCATGGTTATCGTTTTGGAATTGGGATGACGAACAAGACTACGACGAAAAAAAAGTTATAAATAATCAGCGCACTTACGTAACTTCATTGTTGAGGGTGGGCGGAGTCAGATCTGTATAGGTATCAATCTTTTTCAGTTGAAGTGTGTGTGCAAAGGGCAAAAACGAAAAAAAGTCGAAGGAGCAGATTTCATGAAGCATCTCGGAAACCCTGTCCGCGCTGAGAAGTGGGCGGGATAATGGGGCGGGGCTTGCACAGTACCTAGTGTGGTCTAGTTATCAACCACCTATTTGTAAGGGGTGTGTCCGATTTGGTTTGAAAAGTGTCCGATTTGGTTTGAAAAGTGTCCGATTTGGTTTGAAAAGTGTCCGATTTGGTTTGAAAAGTCCGATTTTGATTGAAAAGGCGCGATTTGGTTATGAGTGTCCAATTTGATTTGAAATGTGTCCACTCGGTTGAAAAGTGTCCGATTTGATTTGAAAAGTGTCCGACTTTAAAGTGAAAATGGAATGTGTGCACTTTGACTGAAGACGGCTGGACATTGACACATCGCTGACTGCGCCCATTCTTCAAAGAGTTTGTTGCGAACTTCGAACTTTCATAACTTTTTTTCAACTTTCTTAATTTCACACCCACCTCTT